CAAAATCTAAATATTTTTTGTTTGAGTCACGTCCACCAGTGCAGTGACTCTTACAACTGTTTTGTTTGATATTAATGAAATATGGATTGGCAGCCATCAGACATTCTAGCATAAGCTCACAAGGGCTGTCAGGGTAATCTGATAGGATCTTAAATGACATTATATCCAGCCCAAGTAGAATCCCCTACTCTGCACAAGAGTCATGTAAGAGCATTTTGATGTTGTATCGTCCAAAATCATGTACACTGTCATTGGTAATAATGCATAACCGCTTTCGGTCTATGACAGTGGTAAAAAAATATTTCCCCTCTCATCGATGGCATGTTCTTTGGGATGATTTGCTTGAAGATAATGCTGCCCGTTAGTTGTCTTGTCTATTTCACCAATTAGCAATCGACAACACCTGCTTCAATGCTGCTTTACAGACAATCCATGGAACATACAGTCCCACATTTCGACATACACAACAGCTGTGGGTAGACAAGGAGCTTTTACTGTCTTTAAATATCTAAACTATCAGTTTGCTGTTGGATGCTGAGTGACGCTGTGGCAATCGGACTGTTGTGGAGCTATAAAGTACATGTTTATGTTGTGTTTTTATAAGTTTGTTGAAGGTATATGGGAGAAATGACACTGCGCTATTAACTGTGCTTTGCTTTTTTCAAGTTATTGAATACCTTCTCAACCTGATCATTGCATCTACTTTGTACATGATCCCATCACAAATATAAGTGTAGATACTTTTTGATAAAAAGACTTCATTCTTGGACCCAGTACGTTTTTCAGAGATCTAAACTCGAGCAAAGAATACTTGCAAAGCATTGAATACATATTTGATTGTATTTTGTATCCTATCACGCGGAAGACCCGGGTTCGATTCCCCACATGGGTGAAATGTGTGAAGCCCATTTCTGGTGTCCCCCGCAGTGATATTGCTGGAATATTGCTAAAAGCGGCACGTAAAACTAAACTCAGTCAGTCAGTGTCCCATCACAGTATGTGGTAATAATGTTTTAATCGACTAGTTCAAAGTTGTCTTTAGAATCATTTTCAGCGGATTTTAGTGAAATAATATGGATTATGATTAGATGAGCTGAATCAGACTATTATCAGCAAGGCTAACTGGACACAGGCTAAAGGGAACTGATGGCTGAAGCTAAATATTAAATGTCAATGCCAGAGGAGAACCAGCCGTGACTGTCTGATCATACAGACTTCATCGGGCTCGAATGGCCAGTGAAAATTACATGACTGTCTGGTGTTGTAATTTGTTCATCTAACAATCTACCCAATCAACTAAAGTAGTCAGCCAGATGACAGCCCAGTAAACCAGTTGACAAATCTCCCAATCAACTGTCTACTCAAGCAGCTGACAGTCAACCAAACCAGCTGACAATCGAGCAGCCATTCTAACAATACTACATACTACCAACTCAGGTCAACAGATTATAAACTTATATCTCATCCTGTCTGAACAAGTCATCCCAGATTCCCAGCACATCCTTCTTAATGTCCTGGTAATGTCCGTGTAATATCCAATATTGTCAGGTAATTGTGCGTCACTGACAGCTTCCTGACCACACAGTGGACGCTGATCTGATTTACTGACCAATTTCCTCAGCTGACCACTGCAGTGCCCATAACTCCTTCAAAGAGTCCAGGGCATCAGGTGGTCGTCTCCAACAGCATCAGATGAACCATTCAAAACCATAACTGCATTGCAGGTTTCAGAGCAGGAGGATGATTTCATTTCATCATTGAATTAGGTGCTTCTTATATCCTTAAATTGTGTATTGATAGGTTCTTGGGTGGTCATTAAGAGGATTTATTCTGCGAAAATAATGTGATTTTTCAGATAGATTTGCAGGTTTCAGAGCAGAAGATTTTATTTCATCATTGAATTAGGTGCTTCTCATATTCTTAATATGTGTATTGATAGGTTCCTGGGTCATCGTTAAAAGGATTTTTCTGCAAAAATAATGTAATTTTTAAGATAGATTTGCAAGATAGACCTAAGGTTTTGATGGTTTTAGCCCAAAGCATATTAGATGACACTTCAACCAGAACATTATGTTTGGCTCATAAAGAATAGTTTTTGTCGATGCATTTCATTCAGTTGAACGCATATCTATCAGCATGCATTTGTATACATTGCATTCCGTGTCAGTTGATAGTAGCCTATGTATTTACAAGTTCATGAAGGAAACATTTTGTTGAAGAAAAGGAAATCTATTACAACTTCAGTTTTGTAAAGCACCCAGTTTTTTAATTACAATCGGTCCATTTCTAAGGTAAATAATATAAGATCTGAGCCTTGCAGTACGCAAATAGCCACAAGTCAAGCAGCAGAACCATTTGGAAGGTCGGGAACTGTCTTGAGGCAAATTGACGCAACAATTGAATTTTCTGCCAACAGAGCATGGTTGGGGAGGGAAAAAAGTCAATAGATGAATAAGGAGACAGAACAGACTGAAACTGATTTTTAATAGCCATCATCTGTCCGGGATGCAGATCATTTCCCCCTATAAACATGCACTTGAAATCATCTTTAAAGAGATGACAGCAAATGCAGAACGAACATCACACAACCATTGACTCGCTTATCCAATGTTTTTCATGACTGACTGAAAAGAAAGGAGTAGATTTTCTTGGTTCAGTTAATTCCAGCTTTTATGATTCTTTAATCACGGAATAAATATTGCTGTATCAACTGGCTTTATTATCTGTGGACAGGAAAATAGTATGTTTCAAAGTATGTTTCGGAACTGACTTGTTGTAATTGTTTATGGAACTTTATTGACCGAGATTGATGGGTTGTCAGAACTGAACAAATGTTAGCTATGTTGGAAAAATACCACGTTGTTTCGATGTAGATGTTATCAAACTATGAAGTTATGTTGCATCTCCTTGTAGTGTATGGTGTAATAAGGTAGCTGGGGGCATTCGAAATTGGATCCAAACTTTTGTAGAGTGTGGTAGTTCCAGAACCAATGGTCAACAGTGTGAGCACCAAATTATGAAGCCATTGGAAGACTGGAAGATAATGACAGTAATTGCCTGGTCAGGATGTATTGATTTTGATGGTGGCTACTGGGACAAAATAAACATGGAATACTCTACTAGTTTGACTGACTGACTGACTGACTGAGTTTGGTTTTATACCGCTTTTAGCAATATTCCAGCAACATCACGGCGGGGGACACCAGAAATGGGCTTCACACATTGTACCCATGTAGGGATTCGAACCCGGGTCTTCGGCGTGACGAGCCAAAGCTTTAACCATTAGGCTACCCCACCGCCCCTCTACGAGTTTGAAATGTTTAGAACTACACTGTGTAATATGAATTTATTCCCTACTGCAACATTTTGATTGTATACATATAGTCTGTGAAATTTAATCAAATAATACTTTTACCTTTTCTAAGTATACTGCTATTTAGATTTTGATATTTCTTCATCTTGATTTGTTTTTGATTCAATACTAGCAGCTTTTCCTGTCATAATACAGGTAATTCAGATACTACTCAAAATAAGTTAAGAACAACCCCATACTCTCCCCAATTTCTATGGTTAGTCTGTCATGGCTTGACATAATGGTAATAGACAAGACTTGTATATTCCTTAAATTCTTTTGGGTAATATATACAGGTTCTTTTATTTTGCAGCGAAGTGGAGGCCGATATGTGTGTTTCCATAACATTATTAACAGAACTCTATATGTCTCTGGTAGATGTTACATGACCACCATTATTTCAAGACATTTTGCAGATACATACTGTGGGCCATACAATCACTCAGTGTGAAAGTGTAAGAAACTGACCTACAGACACGATAAATCTCACCTGAATTACTCGGTTTTTTATTTACGGACAACAAGCTGCTACTGTTAGGCTTCAGGCCATTAGACGAAAGGTTCAAAATAGCCTGTGTTTACCAAGCCCACTTTTCTGCTTGGTACATGTTCCAGTTGTTTTTGTAAATCCTCCAAATCATTTGGCTACCATCATGACATGTTTACGTAACTGCTTCATCAGAATGAAATTAGATGCAAGTAATGACATCATGCTGTTTACATGTAAGTTTAAATTAATGTAAACATGTCAACATGTAAGTTTAAATTAATGTAAACATGTCAATATCTATTTAATAAGGAAGAACTCTATTGAGCAAAGTGGTTTATATATCTTCCATCTTTTGTACTGGTCACATAAATATGTTGTTAGGGATGTAGCACCGAGAAAATGTCCACCCTTCTGTGGCATTTATTATCTTGTGAAATCGTGATGACTGATCTGCCTTCTACAGGTGTTTTAATGTCCTGTGTATATTATACAACTTGATGTAAAAATTGTCATTTCAGTTATCTAAATTAGCCTTAAAAATACCCTTTGTGCATTACTGAGATTTTCTCATTAATCATGCTGATTTGAAATGGGTATCATTATCACTTGACGACTGGTGTCAAGAGTGGACAGTAAATGTACATGCTTGACCACAGTTCTGCCCCGGCAACATGGAAATGCCCTCTATTCACTATCTCGAATCAATGCCTGTCTCTTTTTTATGTCAACTGTACACAGCCCCGGAGAAAACACTGTCGGTCTGACCATATCATTCACTGTGGGCTATTAATGAAGCCCAGCCATTAGTGGTCTATCTGACTGCTGACACCACACACTTGAGGGTGGCTTTCTCAACAGTCTTACCCAAATAATTAGGTCGGAGAACACCCTGTACTCTTCTTAAGCCTGGAATTTCTGTGTGTAAACATGGGATTTCCATAAGTGGGAAAGAATAGTCTCAGCAGGAGTATGTTAAGCTTGGGATGGCTTTTGCAGGTTTACGCTTGAAGGGGAAAGGGTTAAAGAAAAGTAGGCTCCCGTGACACAGATTTGAATTTTGAAAATAGGAGGGTTATGGCATGCTTCTTGTACACTTGTTTCAGTGGTACTGTGATGGTATGGAAGGGTATATTAGGTGCTACATCTAGAAGAACTTACCAGGAGTTTATCAGTCAAGCAGTGCTTGGAGCTAGGTGCTGGTGTCACACTTGTTATCCAATATATCCCAATTACGGCAGTTACACGTCTGCCACAAACGCTACTCTGCACCAAACGTAAGATCCGGAGTGTATGATCCCAGTGTGTGCCAGTGTTACTGTTGGGTACTAACAAGCCAGTCAGCTTCCCACTCGGCCTGAAGATTGCGTGTTATATCACTAGATGAGCAGGGCTTACACACAGCATGCCTGGCTCCACCTCCCACAGACGGACCACGCAGTCCCACTGACAGCCACTACACCTCTAGGTAACTGCACACACCAGGATGGACAGTCGGTGCACTGGCCTCTCCCTTAGGCAATAAGTAAAGGTCAGGGAACTGGCCCCTGTCAGGGATATCAACTGGTCTACATTCAACTAAGGCCTGAGTGACTCCCAGCTCTTCCTCTCAACAGAGTCTCCACTCATGCACTGCCAACTTTTCCTCAGCTTGCCTGGCCTTTAGATCTCGGTGAGATAGCCGTCAGCTTCCTGCCTTAGAGGGAGTCAACCACCCAGCACTTTAGAAGTTCCTACTTCTGTCGTCATTGTGTTTTGCCCCCATGAATAGAGAGTCAAGTCCTGCCTGATGAAATGCATGTGTACATAATGAATCCTAGTGCTCCTACAGCCCTACAGATTACGCGACTAGCCCCTTCAATGTTCCGCTTCAATCTGTGTCATTACGGTGGCTCTTTTTATGCTTGGTGGCCATCTGCTTGTCACTAAGTACTGGCCTATGCAACAGAACTGAGGAGAGATGGGAAGGATAAAGTTATGATAAATCACCGGGCTTTACTTTCCTGGCGACTCAAGTTTGTTTGTTTCTTGTCTGAGAGTCCGGCCTATTGTTAGCGTAAACAGACAACGTAAGAAACAGTTTGCGGAGACATATCTGCAGCAAGTGGGGAGACCACGATTAAATGCATGTATACACATTGGCCTAACCTGCTCCAACAACCAATAGCACAGTCAAGCGTTTACATTGAGCGACGCTGCTATTTTCACTGGTGTGGACTCAGCAAAGACTCAGTAAACAAACTGTGGCCGTTTACAAATGGCTTTTAACATTTTTTTGGTGACGAGCTAAACCAAATGATTGAAAAAGTTAACTGAAGAGTCAAAGGATTTAGAGTAAAGTTTGTTTATTTTAGCTTAAATTTCAAAATTCCCCATGGTCTTGTCTTTTGAGAATAAGCTATTATTTACTTTCCTTTTAAACACTTCTAAAAAGCAAATTAGACAAGAAGTCCTCCCTCTAGTTTCTGTTTTTGAACTAAAATGTGAACATACAGTTTGTCAATCTTTGTCAAACTTCTCAGTATGTTACAAATCAAACTGACATGCACTTTTTATTTTTCATTTTTTGTAGGGAACTAATTTAAGAACTGACTGGAGTAACTGAGTTTACTTCTTGTGAACTGACACATGCATTGATTCTATTTGATTTTACCTCATCAGTGAATTTCAGCAAAATCTAATTCCACTAAATTGAACAAATTTTGAAGCTCTCCCCAACAGGAAATTCCTGGTTATAATAGGGCCCCAGCAACCTATGCTGCTTGTAAGACTATGATCAGGTGGAAAGGCTCTTTAACTTAGCTGTTTATGAGTTAATATAGCCCTGATGAATTGGATTCTTTCTCAAAATATCTGTCACTTGATTGTCTGGTCCACACATGGTAATTTACAGGCTGCCATCATGTAGATGAAATATTGCTGAGAGCAGCTTAAACAGCAACAAACTAAAACTGGAAGCACTGTAGAAGGCTGTCTCGCAGTCCCTGAGCCTCTTAGCCTGGCCCTCACTGCAATGCTAAAGTCTAGATTTCAGGTTCTGAATCTCTGTTCTCCTTGGTTCTCCCTGGGGTTTCTTTTCAATTTAAATGGGTTTATGTGTTGCCATCAAAATTATATATATTCAGAGACTAAGCGTTAGTCTAGCATTGTAGCTATAAGTTGTGAAAGTTGGCTTGTGTGTAGCCATAAAACCACCAAACCACCAAAGACAATATACCAGCAGAGTTACAGGAAGCTAAATAGATTTACTGCTGCCATCTTTCATCTTCAATAGTGAAGGTGAAGTCAGGGCACACTTAAGGACAGAATTAGCATTAAACCTCCCACAGTTGCCAGGCTTCATTAGATTCCATCATAGTTGATTTCAAATGATGGTCGCTCAGTGCAAGCAAGAAACTCTGTGCTGCTGGGTGATAGTACGACTGTCAGTGGAGTTTTTATAGTAGCCACTGGATTTTAACCCCATGCAGCCTGAATTCTGCGACCTCATGGATTTCATGGGCAGCATAGTAGCATAGTGGTTAAGGGGGCAGTTTTAGAGGTAGCCTAGTGGTTAAAGCATAGTGGTTAAGGGGGCCAGTGAGGTAGCCTAGTGGTTAAAGTGTTGGCTCGTCATGCTGAAGATCTGGGTTTGATCCCCCACATGGGTACAATGAGCAAAGCCCATTTCTGGTGTCCCCCACCATGATATTGATGGAATATTGCTAAAAGCGGTGTAAAAATATCTCCCTCACCTCTTATTGATTTCATATTGCTAAAAGCGGCACAAAGCAATTCTCACTTACTCAAGTATTTGCTTGTTAAACCACAGACCTGGGTTTGATTCAATACTTGGATACAGAGTGTAATATCATTATATTGACCCTGCAGTGCTATTGCTGAATAGTGGTGGAGGGAAATTCAACACTACTTATTCATGCTCAAGAAAACATGTGCTGTTGTAGTAATAGCCTGGAAATGATTATGATGAATTAAAATAGGTATATCATAGTCAGAGAGCTGTTTTAGTGTGTCTGTGAGGAATGTTTTAAGCTATTTTGTATCTGTGGATGGATTATGGTATATTTCTTTATTATTGGGTTGAACTTACAAAGAGGTGAACATATTGACTACAAATACAGATGTGATGTCAAGTTGTGCTGTTCTTGTTCAAGAAGGATTGAGGTGCAATATTATTTATTTTGGGAAAACTTTTTGGAGTACAAAGTTCCAAAATGAATTTATCATTATTGCTGGACTCTTTTGAATTAATTCTGAAGTTTGTGACAACAGAGTTCCCAAATCATATAGACAGACCTCTAAGGGCTGAAATATTTCTTCATGTGTTATTTGTAGGAAGTGCAGCCCAAACCATTAGGTTTGATTGATCATGTGACCCGTGGTGACCTCTGCCACTCTGATGTCCCTGGGTACCTGTTCCAGACAGTTACAGCTATTGGTACCTCGCATCTCATGATAGGGGTAACCAGGCATCAGAGAGACTTCCTTCTGGTAGATGAATCTCAACCAGTGCGGAAACCATATGGAATGGTGGTATGGTTCCTGGTAACTCTCTCATCAATTAACTGCCCATTACACAGTGGATGCTCTTCTTTCTTATGACATTGCCACAAGGCGGCGCTACAGGCTGCTGCTTTTCGTATAGCAGTTCCTAGAGTCCTGTTAGTCTTTCCGAAGCAGTTCTCAAGGTGTTATGATATGATATTTCATGTTTTATAATTTATACCTATCTTTGGTAAAGTTTTATCGTTTTCATTTTTGGATTATGTTATATTATTACGAGAATTTTGGATCATCAAAGAGAATGGTTTATGTTTTAGGTACACTTTCTGGCTAATGCGAAATATCATACCTTTCCTTGAGAACAATGTAGCCCTCAAAGAAGTGAAATCTTTTGGAATGTATTGTATGGTAGTGTTCTTTAAAGGGTCACTAATAGTTAATTGATCAATATAAGCCAGTTAGATTATAAAGATACTCAGAATGTTTGCCCCTAAACCACATAGCATCAGCCCCAATGCTAGAGATCAGCCTTGAGGAGGACATTACTTCTGTATCATAGCCGCACAAGGCAATTACGCATGTGATCTCATTCCTTCAACATAACCAGCATATAATCAACACAACATTTCAACATCAGGACCTTGGTGTGTGGAAGTCTGTGAAAAAACAAGACACATCTGGCCAAGTTCCCCCCTCTCCCCCTCCCTGAAATGCTTATAACAGCAGCAGCAACAGCAGCAGCAGCAGCCAAGTATATAAAAACCTCGGCGCTGTGGTCTACCTACACCATCTACACCCAGAGATAATAAACACTGTGCAAACAGAAAACCCCTTGAGAGAGTTTCCGAGCCAAGACGAGAATAAGATGATCTTGTTAGTGTGGCCTAAGGCCAAGTATTGCATCATTAGGTATTAGGTTCTGCTGTGGAGTAAAATGCAATGCATGGATGTTTATTGTGGCACTTAAATGGTTTTAGATAAATAAGGACGGTTCAAATGATGTGGTTTTATGTTGGAGGAAACGTGTGATCTGTTGAATGCTGTTGTGTTTGTTTGTGGAAGGATTTGTTTAGTTTAAGAGAAGGAAATGTGCATATGAAAAATGTATGTCCAACAACAGTTTTGCGCCTTTTTTGTTAAGCATTGAAATAGATCCATTATGACTTAAAAGGAATGAACGTTGTTTTGACACATTCTGAAGTTTTCTATCATTGTTTTCTACTTTTAAATGTTTGAGGGATATTATTTTCTTGACATGGCTCAAGTACCCTGTTTGAAGTAAGCGCCAGCCTGTTGGTCCGTGGCTGGTAGATCTTGTGTCGGACCTGTAATTTAAAAGTTGTATGGCCTGCAGCAAAAATGTTTGTCGATGTATGATGATAATTTTTTCTGTTTTCATGGCATTGTGGCTTTTATTGTCTGTACTTTATGCAATTAGTGTAATTGTGTTGAGCTGCACCAAATAAATCAGTCATCACCATTTGAAATAAGGCTATTATTGACACACATTTTCTGTTTTAAAATAACAATTAAAAAAAAAAAGATTTTTTGGATCAGCTGAAATATGAAACACTTGTTTGTTGGTTCTTGGTTGTTTATTTTATTGTGTCTTTGTTTTGTTTTGTGTTAATTTCAGGGAGGGGTAGTAAATGATAGGAAAGATTCGGAGTCTGACTGATGGTACCTCTCTATAATTGCTTGTCTCTACCTAGAGTTGGGCTGATAGAGTTTTCAATATTCATCTAGTGTTGGTTGTCAGAGCCTTCTGAAATGGACATTGGGGTAACATTGTGACCAGGGTCTCAATTGACGAAGACCTTCTCCGTGGTGTAGTGGTTAAAGCATCTGCCCAGTCACAGGTTCGATCCCTGGCCGCGTCATACCAAAAGATGTTAAAATATGGTACTTGTTGGTCCATGCCTGGTGGTCGGCAATAATGGGTACAAGGACTGGTCGGCTCGGAGTCAGTATAATGTGTCTGAATGGGGTATTCATGCTTAACCAGCTGAAGTCTGGGCTAGTACAAGCAGCCACACATACACATGCATGCACGTCGTGATATGAGCGAAATATTCTAAAGTGCAACGTTAAACCCCATTTCACCACCTCACCTCAATTGACAAAGCAGTCCTAGCACACCAGATAGTTGACACTCCAATACCTTAACATATACTTTGTAGAGCTATCACTTTGTGGAACGGGGCCCTGATAGATATATAGTCGTCATACCGTAGGTATTTTGGCTCTTGATCTTGACCACCAGTTTGCCTGGTGCAAATTTGATTTCTTCTCACCGTTCCCTGATGCCATTGTTATTTACTCACTGGGAGATCAATTACTACACTAAATTGTGACGTACTTTACCCTGTGAAAAATAATACACTTACAATTTTAATTCATTTCAATCAGGAAAAGTTTCTATTTACATAATGGTATGAATTTAAAAGCTTTCAGAGTTTTATAAATGTATTAGAACATTTATCTCACATGACAGGTAATAATGATATAATATCCCTCTTGTTA